ATAGTTTATTATTTATTAAAGACGAATAAACAGCTACTATTTTTTAATCCTTCATGCGTTTAGAATAACTACTTATTAAAAGAAACATCATCGCTGGTGCATCCAGTATGTGATAAATCAAACTGATTTTTTTAGTACTGAACTTTAATTGTTTTCCCATAAAAAAGTGCAGTAGAATATACAATAAGTATATGTTCTCCTTGTGTACATAACATCCCCAGCTACCTGTATCCCCCCAATACCAAATTGGTTAGCCATCGGTCTACAAGTTGTGTCAATAAAACTTACCCCATCCAATGTTTCTCTCCATAACTTCGCATTTTTTTTTGTTTCAGTACACTTGATGCGAGAGGATTCAACATATGAAAGCTCAAAAATCTTCTCTTTATCTTTTATCAACATCATAACATCGGGTTTCTTCCCCATACGTTCTCCACTGAGTCTTTTATTTCTTCGAGCCTTGCTTGCAATACTCTGGCGTTCTGCTCTGCAAGTAGTAAAAAAATAGTTTAGTATAATTTAATAATAATTTCAACTTTTGTAATATTATTTCTCTTACGTGCTCAAGCAGATGTAACCATTTGGAAGGTTTTCCAAACTTGCACGAAGTAATGGAACTATAACATCTGTTACATATGTCCCCTCACTTTGTTGGTTACGAGACGTGCTAGTCGCAAATGCTGGATTATTATTACTCCAGATCTCTCCTCTGGTTTAAAATTATATGAGTTACTTCGTTAAAAAGTTTCCATAAACAATTGATGAAACTACTCACAGCACACTTAAAATGCGTTCTGCTATTTTTATTGATTCAGATTCGCTTCCTTCCATGATTTATCATGGATAATATTCCCCATATTAATATCTCTTGGAACATTTGTGTTATTGAAATTTTCAACAAACTCTTACTCTTGGATACAACTGAACGACACATCTCATATTTTCGCAAGGCTCCTAATGAAGATATAAATGTAAGTTCGATTTATTTGAGTCCAGATACAAATAATTACCATAAATGTACGCCTCTGCCTTGTACCCAATTTTTCACTATTTCCGATTCATCACTGATCACCATGTTAGCTTCATGATCCTTCCACGTGAGCTCCGACTGATTGATATTCTCCAAATTCGTTCTAAGAGAACTTTAAAGGTTCACATCTGCTTCTAACACAGGATGATAAATATATGTTTCATTTTAGTGAAGCGTATTCGATAAAAGAATTGATAACGTACTAATATTTACATCTAGTTTTATAAAAAAAATTGGTAAAAAACGATATAAAAAAATAGTACAAAAATGTAGACACCATCTACTTAATACGGTTTTTCCACTCATTGTCCGTTTAACATTCAATGGTTCTACTAACGGTTAGTTACCGTTTATTGTTTTCTTGGACGCCCACGCCCTCTTTTTGGACGCGGTGCCTCTTCGTCACTGGTATCATTCAAAGTACTCAGTAATTTGTCATCACTACTCGTCGCCTTCCCTCTTTTTCGTTTAATGGCCCATCCACCTTGGTACCACTTTCTTCTCCTTTGTCGTTTTTTCTTCTTCATCTTCAGCTGGTGCAGGGGGTAGTTTTTGCATTGATTTGTGTAATGCAGCTATTCGACTTTCAGTTGCGCCTTTTTTCTTATCTTTGCTGTCTTTATTCGACACTGACCACGGCACACTGTTGGACGCCTCCGACTTTAAATTGACGAATTGCATTTCCAAGACGTTACAGTATAAGCGACTTTCGATAACAAATAACTCCGCGGTACGTTGAAGAAGTTTTCGCAGCAGTGAAAGTATTCTTTAGGCGACCATCTAAAGGATGTGATTGTGGCACATCATCATATTAGTGCCACAGGTTGCCATACTACAGATGTTTCCTTTTTTAAAATAAACGTCATAATACATAGTCACTCTCGATAAGTCGGACTCGTCGGGGCGGAGATTTTGTCCGACTTATCGAGAGATCCGACTT